GTGACCAGCATCTGAGTTTGAGAAAAGAATCTTAAACGAGAACCAAGATCCTCTTACTTGGTTATTTGACACTTCATTGATTAAACGTACTTCATTTTAATTGAATGCTTACTATGTAGCCACCATCTACTTACTGGACCTGCTGCTCACTGTATGCAAAGGCAGGGCTAGTCACTCTTTAGTTTCTTATGACTATTCAATTCTTTACCTGAAATGGCCCATTAAGCAGTAAGAACAATGCACTCAGTAACATGAGAGCTAAGGTACAAAGGCAAAACATTTTTTCAGTATACCTTTAATATCTGTCTTCTAATATTACAGTTGGCATTGGCTGGAGAAAGGATCTCTTCATTTTTCATTTTGGCTGCAATTGCTTCTTACTTGTTTGCTTGTTATTCTTCTCTGGCCATAAAGCTGTATCCACACTGGAAATGGCTCAGGTCCCTTTGTCAGCCATTTGGATCAGTCATGCATATCCCAACTGCCTGAAAAAACTGGGTTTAGCAATTAGTATCAATCTGGTAACTGTCCAATGTGGCCAGGGTGGCTTATTTCTCCTACAAGTTTAGATGTCATTGTTGACATCACCCCTTCTCCTCTCTAGCTACATGCTACTTTCCTCTCTGTTCCACCAAAAGTGTCAGGCCATGGCCCATATTCTAGAAAGGCTCTTGGTATTTCATCAGTGTTCTCTTTTCTAAGCAGTTTAAGGACCAGCTAGCTAAGAGACCAGCAAGCGGGGGACTAGGAGGATTTTAGAGACTTCTTGTTTTGTGAAACTATATTAAAATTACATCTTACTGAGAGGAATTTAAGAAAGTAAGCAATACACGCCTGTAATCCCAGCACTTTGGGAGGCCAAGGCGGGTGGATCACCTGAGGTTGGGAGTTTGAGATCAGCCTGACCAACATGGAGAAACGCCATCTCTACTAAAAATACAAAATTAGCTGGGCATGGTGGTGCATGCCTGTAATCCCAGCTACTTGGGAGGCTGAGGCAGGAGAATCGCTTGAACCTGGGAGACAGAGATTGCAGTGAGCTAAGATCTCACCATTGCACTCCAGCCTGGGCAACAAGAGAGACACCAAAAGAAAAGAAAGAAAGAAAACAAAAGAAAAAGAAAGAAAGCAATAACAGCCAGAAGAAAATGGGCTGGGTGTGGTGGCTTACACCTGTAATCCCAGCACTTTGGGAGACTGAGTTGGGCGGATTGTCTGAGCCCGGCTACTCTGGTAGTTGAGGTGGGAGAATTGCCAGAACCTGGGAGGCAGAGGCTTCAGTGAGCCAAGATCATGCCACTGCATACCAGCCTGGGAGACAGAGCGAGACTTTGTCTCAAAAACAAAGCAAAACAAAAAATTAGCCAGGTATGGTGGCGCACTCCTGTAGTGCTAGCTACTCAGGAGGCTGAAGTGGGAATCTGGGAGGTGGAGATTACAGTGGGTTGAGCTCGTGCCACTGTACTCCAGCCTGGGTGATGAAGCGAGACCCTGTCTCAAACAAAACAAAACAAAAACCACCACAACAACAAAAAACCCCCAAAAAATCATAAAGAAAGCCAGAAGAAAGCCTGAGAGAGTAATAAAGAGAGGAGTTTTGGAGAAAGAAATGAAGGAAAGGAAAGGAATACAACATTTCTGGTAAATTCTCAAATTTGAAAGAGGAGTGGTGAGGAACAAACATTCCTTTGACTTGGGAAGATACTGTGTAACTTTCCCTCCATTCTATTTACCTTCCAAGCAGTATGTGCTAATATTAATATTGACATCCCTGTTCATATAATAGCTTTGGGGAACATGTTGCATAGTTTAGGATTCTTTTTGGTTAACTGAGTTTGAACAAAAACAAGTTCAAGCTATTATTAATTTTCTTTTCTGTGGGCTGGAGGGGCCAGACCTGCCTTAGGAGACCTCTTGTATCAGTCATTAAAAGCCTTCATTTCATGCCTTCATTAAAATGTTTGCACCGGTTTAAACTTGAAAATCTGCCCCAAATGGCATCGTGCCAGAAGTTGATTCTTGTTGCTTCAGAAAAAGGGGAAAATATCCCTTTGCTGGAGTAACATTTGCACTGGGTGAGAGGGACATTCCCTCCCAAGAATATATGGCTTTATTGAGTGAGGTCAAATGAAACTTTGCCGGGTTCTTTGCCCATGCGGAAAATGAATGTGTCTAATTTACCTTCCAAATGGGGGAAATGGGAGCAGAAAGGCAGATTACTCGACATAGTTTGGAAAGACCATATAAACACCAGGGGAGTTGTAGCTCCAGCCCCACGTGGTTTTAGGCCCCGAACTGTTTACCGTCTGTAGTCTAAAAATTGGCAGCTCATGGCCACAGGAATACTCAGGCTTAACACTTTAATCACATCCAGAGGCACAGTAAGCAGAACTTCAGCCAGAACAGATCCAATTTCTTTCCCAGACTGGATAACTTTGTTTTATAAAATAAGCTCAGTGATATTTCAAGGGTTAATTATAAGTCTTTAGAAATCCTGGACTTGCATTTATCTTTTAAAAATATTTACACAACTTGGCTTTCTATGGCACCACTCTGTATGTGTGCACGTGTGTGTGCGTGTGTGTGTGCATGTGTGTGCACGTGTGTGTGCATGTGTGTGCGTGCATGTGTGTGCATGTGTGTGCATGTGTGTGCATGTGTGTGCATGTGTGTGTGTGCATGTGCGTGTTTTAAGAGCTCAATACATTTAATATTGTCTCTCCAAACCTAGACATCTCCAAAAGCACACAGGAGATTCATCAGACCCATTTGGAAGGTGATGCTGTCTACTCACTTTAGGGTGAAACAGAGGCGGGCAGATGCCTCCTCACAGCCACTGCCAGGTAGTAGGAGCGGAAACTGGGCCTCCTGCTGTCTGAGTCCTGTTTTGAAAGCCCCTCCCTGAGTCCAGTATCTCTCTTTGTGAAATTCATGGAAATCTAGATAGAGTGAAGGATTCCTCTACTCAAGTACTTTAAGAAAAGTTCCTGATTTTTTTCCCCTTGTTAAGCCTGAGAAGGAGGTGGGAGGGAGAATGCCTCCCCTCTGCTATTCCTTGGCTCCAGGTTTCTCTTTAAAAAATGCCATCAGACCATATACTCCTCAGCATCTGAGAACACTTCCTCTGGAGTCCAGTTCTCCTTTCCAGGCAGCTGAGGGAAGAGAGACTTTAAAACTGGCAGAGGGCATCAGGGGTGAAAGGCAACCCTGAGAGCAGGAAAAGCCCAGGGAGACAGGCCGATTCCGGCAGGGGAGACTGGCCCATCTGGAGCACCAGGTCATGCCTGGGGATTCCCTGGCCTCACCTGCAGACACCCTCCCCTCCCTGAGGGTTGGGCTGCTCAGAGATCACCGGGACTCTCAAACCACTGCTGGGAGTGGCCCCTCTCAGACAGGCATTTTTATTATCAAATGAGCAATGAGAGAGGGGAGAGGTGAGGAACTCTATGAGAAACATGCAGTCTTTTATCACATCATCAATTTTCAGTGAGAAAATCCAGACCTTCTTACTTTTACAGAGATAGAATTCAGTTCTCAGGGACTTGTGAAGATGCAGCATCATCAAATCATTGTGTGTGCGTGCGTGTGTGTGTGGGTGTGTGTGTGTGTGTGTGTGTTATGTTTTCCTTATCATCCACCTTAGAAAATATTCTCTACATTCCCATGTTAAAATATTTTTTCCTAAAATCCATCCATCCTTACACATCCCAACCTCCTAAAGAAAGTAATATAGGTTCATTGCAGAAGATTTGGAAAATACAGAATTGTGACCAGATCAAACTAAAATGCACCCATAATTTTATCACCGAATTTGATCAACATTTTGGTGAATAGCCACCAGTCTGTTTTCTATCTTTTTAGGGAATATAAGTTCCAAGAGGCGGGGGTGTTGTTCACTTCTGTGACTCAGTGCTCTGAACCAGGCCCAGTGAAGGTTGACGTGCAGGCTGTATTGACGGAATGAATGAAGAAATACTACACGTGCATATTTTGAATTGAAACAGGTCATCAGGGTGCAGCAGAGAATAACAGAAATAGAATTGCTTGGGTGTGTTGACTTAGATCCAAGCTACTACTGGTAACGTACTGTATCTCCTAGAGTAAGTCACTTCACCTCTCTGGGCCTGAGCTGCTGCTTCAGTAAAATAATTCTTGTAGCTAAGATTTGTTGAGTGCTCACTATGTACACTGTCATAAGCCCTATATGTGTATTTCTCATCATAGCTTTATGAGTTACGTACCTGCCATCTCCATTTTATGCATGAGAAAATAGGCATGGAGAAGTTACGTGGTTCGCCTAAAGTCACACAGCAAATTTGTGGAGAGCTGGGCTTGAACTCAGGCATCTGGGCTTTTACTCTCTCCAGTGGAATGCCTGGGCTGTGGGATGAGATGACTTCACAGGCCTCTCCCAGCTCCAGTGTCGAGAGAGAGAGCGGGGAGTGGTGCAGGGAGGTAGTTCGGATGATTACGCTACTGGCCAAGTTCAAGAAAGTCAATTGTGGAACAAGGTCCGGCTGATTATTGCAGAGAGCAAAGTTCTTAACTAGAGGACTTCCTCCTGGAATGTGGAGAGTCCACACAGGCACTAGCAGAGCATAATGAAAGACCGGGGATTCTCCGCTGTTCAATCAGTGCTCCATCACTCAGAGGCGGGGTTGCAAGGGCTCCTCATGTGTCCCCTTTGCCTTCAGGGCCTCCCTGTACAGCCACCTACAGGACAGTGCACCAGGGTCAGGCAGGGAAGTAAATAAAAGAAGGAATCTGATAATTCCTGACAGTGTGCAGCAGCTGATGCATTTAATGGGGGAGGAAGACTGGGAATCTCGCTTGATGATGACCTAGGACGTCAGCAGGACACTGGCCCCTTTACTCCCCCTCCCAGGCTGAAACCTTGTGTTTTGCCTTATGCCCATGGTAACCAAGTCTCCTTTTTGGTGAGGAGGAATGGGCTTCAGTAAACAGATCTATTTGTGTGATCCTATTACTCATTTGAAGCAATGTCACTCCTTTTTCCACTGTGGTCTGTGTGTCTGAGTCAGAGACAGCCTACAACAGGGTTCTTTGAATTGATGGCTCACTCCCAGCCACTCTTGACTGACTGCCAGCTTAGCAGGGCGTAGCTTACCAACAAATCTTTTTTTTTTTTTTTTTAAAGCCAGACTGATTCATAGAAACTCCTTTAAAACACGGTGAAAAGAAACCGCCCATTACGCACCCCAGTACACCAGCAGGGGAAACTTATAACCTCGGGAGGCAGGTCCCTCCCCTCAGTGCGGTCGCATACCTCCAGAAGAGCGGACCAGGGCTGCTGCCAGCACCCGCCACTCAGAGCGCCTCTGTCGCTGGGACTCTCCAGGTAAGACAGCTCCTAACGCTGAGGGGACTCTCAGCAAACCTCCTTCCTTTCCACGGCTCTCCTTCTTCTGACCCCATCTAAGCGTTGCTTTTACTTTTTTCCTTTGCTATTTTTCTATGATCCTTGAAACTTTTGGCTCAAAGTGGATACAGAGACAACTTTTTCCAGAAAGTTCAGAAAAGTGTGTTTTGAGGACGGAGTCTGGGGAAATCAGTGGGACGGGACTGAAATCGTGCCTGGCAGTGACCGGGTTCTCGTTCTAGGATGTGGAGGGAGCAGGGACTTTGAAACAAACCGGGGTAGGATGCTGTTTATGGAGGAAACACCACACACCTTGGAAATGACATCGGGAACTGCCCAGATGGTTTTCACCTCCTCCGTTTTGATTCTGATTGCTTCAGGACTTGAATTTTTTCTCTGCTCGCTGGTTGTTGGTTGGGATTTTTTGGGTGGTAGTGGATAGATAACTGGCTTTCAGTTTATTTTTGACATTGCTTTTCCTGCCTGTTTTCTTCTCTATTCATTTCTGTTTAAATTTAAGTATTTTTTTCTCCTCATAGGATGGGAAGAGGGGGATTGGTTTGTTTAAAGAAAACTGTTGGCCGGGCATGGTGGCTCACGCCTGTAATACTAGCACTTTGGGAGGCTGAGGTGGGTGGATCACCTGAGGTCAGGAGTTCAAGACCAACCTGGCCAACATGGTGAAACCCTGTCTCTACTAAAATGCAAAAATTAGCCAGGCATGATGGCAGGTGCCTGTAATTCCAGCTACTCAGTAGGCTGAGACGGGAGAATTGCTTGGATCCGGGAGACAGTGGTTGCAGTGAGCTGAGTGAGACTCCATCTCAAAAAAAAAGAAAAGAAGAAGAAAAAAAGAAAACCTTTACAGAGTGAAAGAGAGGGAGGCAACCGGTGTTTCAAATGAAACGTGGGAGGGGTTCATTTGGTGGAAGCAGGAGCTGATGAGGATTCCAGATGCCTTCTCTTGGCCAGATGTGGAGGGCGGGGGAGGCAAAAGGGAAGCTGGGTTTGGAGAAGAGGGTGGGGCAGGAGAACATCTGTGCCTGTTAAAAATTGTTGAGTGGCTTTGTGCTTTCACCCCAGAAAAAGCTGCCTTTCAGTGCTCAGTGAAAAGATGGCATATCAGAAACGATAAAAGAACTTTTAAAAGCAAGTGGATGTGGAATTTCTCTGCATGGAAGGCAGTGATTGTTTTGAAATGCCTATCTTTTCTTTCGTTCCCAAAATGTGGTTGTATAAATGCAAATACTCATGCTAATCATGAAGTAAATCAGGAGGAATGAAGAAGGGTGCTTTTTCCTTTTTTTGTTTTTTTTTTTTTTTAGGTTAGCATATTGGGTGAGTGTCTACTGAGGTGTGGCCCATTTCAACGTAAGATACTGGTATATTTTTTTTCCCCAAGTAAACAAGATGAGAATGACAGGATTCAGCTTGTCTGACAAAGTTAGGCTTTTCCTTTAGAAGCGTAGTACGTTGGGAGAGAAGATTTAGATGTAATCAACCCTGTGTTGGGCAGGCAATGCGCCTTGTAAAACTGCCCCGGGGGGATGATTGAGTAGGCACCAGGGCAACTTTTCAAGATGAAGGGAACTTCTACATTTGCTTCAAATGTTTATTATTTCCACATTACATGGATGTGGATTAGAGAAGCCATTATTAAATCAATAGTGTTAATATCCTGCGAAAATTATACAAATCTTTTAGTTCTGTGCAGGTTAAAACTAATAAGCAATGTCTGTCTAACCAGTCAGCGCACGGAAAGCCCCGAAAACGTTGGGAGTGTAAACCATCATGAACTGCATTATTTGTGGCAACGTTTCACATGATACTGCAGCGTTATACATGAGAAAATATGCTACATGTTACTTTGCTGGAGTTTGAAGACAATTTAGCAAAATGCCGTTTTGATTCCTGCGCTCTGCTCTTCCTCCAAGAAGTAGTGAGAGAATCCCTTAGCTGTGAGAGTTTTTCTGGATTTCAGCTTTGACAATACAGAAATGTGAGGGTTATTCCCGCCACCTCCCGCCTCCCGCTCCACCCCTCCCACCCTCAGGGGCAGATCCAATTCCACCCAGACTCCGAAGAATGGGGCGGGGGCGGGGGCTGCAGGACATCCTGTCTGGCGCCCTGGTCAGAGGGCTCCCCACATTTTACATTGTTTGTGGGTACTACACTGTCTTGGGAGTTGGCAAAAGGCCATCAAGAACCAACTCGACTCGGAGCAGCTCACATCCTTAGAATCTGGCTATCTCCCAGGACTGCTGGGCGGACGACCGCTGGGGAAAGGAAAGACATCCCTTCTGTGGACTGTGGAAAGGACTTATTACGCCTTCCTCAGCCCTTCCTGCTTCCTCCAGAGACCAGATTAGGCCCATCAAGTTCCCAGCCTTGTCAGTGGGCTTCATGGAGACCCCCTGCCCGGGAATGCAGACCCTCTTGGCTTGCTCTGGGTGGCTCTAGGAATTTCAGGTAGTGCCAGATCCACAGGGGCTACTGGAGGGAGACAGGCTGAAGACCTAGGAAAACTTGCGGATGAGGCAAGACTGCTTTTCTGTAGACTCTATGGAGCCTGGTGGGGCACATAACTGAACTGTCGCCACAGGAAAGGGCAGGAGGCAAGTCAGTTCCATTTCATCCTTCGTTTCGTTCACAGAATTCTAAATTTGGGAGGGATCTTGGATCTCATTCATTCTCCTACTGTGTGCAGAAATCTAATTTTTACACCATCTTGAACAGATGGCCATCCTACAGATCTTAAAATTTCCAGATGTGGGGAGCTCAGAACCTCAGTGTGTATCTCCACACTCATTCCCCCAGCAGGCTAGCTCTAATTTTATTAAAGTTCCTTAAATCCAGCAAAATCAACTTCCTTATAACTTCCTGATTCTGCTGACCTGAAACAACTCAGAAAATATCTATTCTGGTTTCGTTGTTGCTCCACCCAATGATCCTTATCCTCTAAACACTTAATGCCTATTTAATATTTAATGAATACAACTTGATGGATCTACATTGCATTATCTTTTCTTCTTCTTCTTCTTCTTCTTCTTCTTCTTCTTCTTCTTCTTCTTCTTCTTCTTCTTCTTCTTCTTTTTTTTAACCTAAGGCTCAGAAGGGCAGGGAGCATTTTTGAAGCTTGGAATTATGCTCTTAGTCAATCATACTCATGGGGTTTTTGATTTGGAGGTATTTTCATTTTCTAAATGCATGGATATGGTTCCCTCTTTAACTTCCCACATGTATGTACATAGATGCCTAACACAAAAGCTTAGGCATATTTGGGACTCTCAGATGTACATACTTGGAGGGACACACCCAGTGTTGCTACCTACTAAGTCATGGTTAGATCAATCGAATACCAGGACACAGGCTTCTAGCTAGGGGATTGTCCCATAACTTGGGGATTGTCCCATAACTTGGTCCATACTTCACGTAGCCCACGCCTATACGTTGTCACCACCCATCATAGTAACTATGGGAACAGGCTGTCCATCAAATGTAGCCTCCTTGTAATTGCTGGCCAGCAATCTGGGTATCAACCCCTTGAGAAGAGCTCCTACATCTTAACCAGTGTAGAACAGGAATTTTCTCACCATAGGCTTCCCTTTTTTAATACTCTTCCCAGATCCGCCCAGGTGATCTTGAATTTCTGGACTGCACTTGCTATTCAGTAATCAAGGAAGCCCAAATATGGTTCCAGTTAGGGGTTTACTTGAATCTCCATCACCCAGCCCCGACATACACACATCCTGAGACTACTCTTTGCAACACTTCAGTCCCTGGCGTCCTGCCTGGGTAAAACCATTTCCTTCAATTTACCTGGGAGAGTCACTGATAGTGAAGGAGAAAGATGAAAGCACAAACACCTGTGGTGATTGCTGCTTCTGTCTCTTCCTTTTTAACAAAATGTTTGGGTCAAGCTTTTCTTTTGTGTGGTGGAGATGGCATTTCCCTGGAACTACGATGGACTCCTCTGCTGAATGGTGCCCTTGGCATTATGTGGCTGTGACAGTTTTTCTATTTGCTGAGCCTGTTTCATGAATTGTTTTTTCAAAGAGGGTAGTTAAACTAGAGAGCCCCTTCGGCACAGCTTGAAACCGCGGCAAGAATCCTGGAGCAGATGTCAGACAGCTGACTAGGAAGACAGAGGGGCAGTGGTGTTATCTAGTGGTGTTATCACTAGATAAGTGGTGTTATCACTTGTCTTCTTGCTTTCGGAAGTTGAACCTGTTGGTTCTTTCACACCCCTTATGGCTCTGAGATTCTAAGATTCAGCCAGGCGTGGTAATCGAGCTACTTGGGAGACTGAGGTGGGAGGATCACTTGAACCCAGGAGTTTGAGACCAGTCTGGGCAACATAGACCTGTCTCTGAAAGAAGAATTTTAAACAGCAGGGCGGGGTGGTGCATGCCGGTAGTCCCAGCTACTTGGGAAGCTGAGGCAGGACGATTGATTGAGCCCAGGGCTTTGAGGCTGCAGTCAGCTATGATTGTACCATTGCACTCCAGCCTGGGTGACGAAACAAGACCTTTCTCAAAACAAAACAAACCAAACAAACAAAACACCAAAAAAGAAACGAAAAACAAAAAAATTAAGATCCTGCCATTACTGTTTTGAGGAATCCCTTGGGCTGACGCTAGCAGCTAGTTTAATCTGTAAAAATGGATAGAAAAGTGAAACAAGGCAACACGTGTTATTGAAATGGGCATTTTTCAGAGGATTCTCGTCTCCTAGGTTCCTTGAGGACCCACGCAGCCTCCTCTGCCCCATCCACTCACAGATTCTTTAGGAATGGTGTTCCCCGGACTTGCTCTCAGCCATGAGCATTCACCCGGCACAAGGAATAAAAGAAAGAGGTTTGAGTAATTAGTAAAGGGTGCCAGCTCAGATGAGGAGGGCAGGCTGAGTCTGCGAAGACATTGACAACAGCAAAGCATTCACCAGGAACAGAATCAGGCTCAGGGAGAAACTGAGCTGGCCCTGGGAACAAACTCCACCCTCTTCTCGAGGAGGGAGACCCTGCAGCATGAGGGTGTGGTGTATAGGTGTGGACAGGAGCCAATGAGAAACAATTTGAGAGGAGGAAGAGGAAGGTGCGACTAAGACAGGAGGGAGGGAGGGAGAGCAAGTGGGATGCTATTTCCCAGGCTGTGTGTTGAGGGAGGAGGCAGACAGAAAGACCTAGAAGCGGGAGAAAGAGCTAAGTCGATAGAGAAAGACAAAGTGGATAGACAAAGAGCTAAGTGGATGGAGAAAGAGCAAGGGAGAAGTGATGAGGCTGTTTCCCCTTCCATCTTTCCGCTCTTTTTTGGGGACCACCTACCCTCAATGTTTCAGGACGGTCCTTCGGTCAGAATTCTATTCTTTGTCCCCTGTGAAGAATCTTTTGTTGCATTGGTTTCCTCTTGTTTTTTTCAGGATAGTTGACACCTCTTTGGTATCATTTGAGTTTCCGCTATGGGTGCCCACCAGGCTGGAACCTCTTCAATGTTTCTCCTCTTCCAGGTCAGATCAGAGCTGAGAGCAAAACGGGGTCCTTGATCCTTAGACCTCTCGTTTCAAAGACTCAAAGACCCTTCCCCAGGACGCTGGAGAAGGGGAGTTGGAGAGAGGTTTGCAATCCTGAAACAACTAGCTTGGGGCAAGCCAGTGTGTTCACATTGATCTCAGAGAAAGTTCTGAAGCTGAGACCTGGAGCTTCCCTTTACTGAAAGATAGTTTCCAGGTCTGGGTGGGGTGGGGATTCCTGTGGTTAGAAGGTTAGAAGCTTGCTTGGAGTTTGCAGGGGGATCTGGTTTGGGCCTGTGGTGGCCAGGCAGGCTGGCTCTGCTGGGTGGGCCTTCTCCACAAAATGAAGGGAGAAGCAGTGGTCTCTGAAGACCATGTGTTTTTATAATTGACACAGTTTTAAGGGGTGTATGCTGACTCTCTGATTAACTCAGAGAATGTAGGAGGAAAAGAGAGAACAGTAGATCTGGTAGAAGTTCTAGAACTTCCACCAAACCCTAAGCCAAGAGACAGGAGAGAGAAAATCATGCCAGGTGGAAGAGCCCTGCCTGGAAGGTGCGAAATGGCTTCAGTTCTGATTCGATTCCATTTCTCCTTTGGGGATGTGCATTTCCTTCTTATCAAGGGGTTGGACTGAATGACGTCAGTGCCTCTCAACCTCTAAAGAACGAATTGAAATGAAGCCCTGAGCCCACCTGATGGGTCTGGGGTGTCTGTAGGCAAGGGGCCTCCCCTCCCAGCTTGCCGCCTTCCAGGAGGCTGCAGCTTTGCTGGTTGAAGCATGTTGCCGCCATCTACTGTTGGTCCCGCCCAAGCGCCGCTGGGGCTGGGCCACACCTAGGTTTTCTTCCCAAACGCCTAGTTATTATCTTGGCAGCTTCTCCCTTGAAGACATTCTGGCTGCCAGAACACTCCTTTGTCAAAAGCAGAAGGCAACTCACGCTTCCGTCCTCGCCCAGGAAACGTCGCCTGATCCCTTAACCAGCTGCAGTCTAGGGGAGTGGGCTGGGCCCCAACTTCACAGCCCAGGTCTGGCCTCAGTCTTTGCAACTGTTGCCCAAATCCACCCCCTCCCTTGGACACAAAGGAGGACAAGCGGAAATAAGAGAGCGAGGTTATTCTCCTTGGGAGCATTTGCAAAAACAATATTCATGCCGCTTGTTTGCTTTTAGCATAATCGTTGGTCTTCAGGCTCTGCCAGGGAAGCATAAGGCCCATTTCCCTGGCCTAAGCCTCTCACTTTACACAGAGGAAGAGACCAACCAACCAGGAACTGTGTGGCCCCCGCTCTGTGCCTGGCACAGGCCTTCAGCCCTCACGCTAATCCTTTGAGGTCTACAGGTCACAGTTCAGGTGTGGTGGAACCAGGATTGGAGCTGAGAAGCCCTGCTCTGTGCTACTTTGAACTCTGTGCCTCAAGGAGCCACTGACCAGAGAAGTTACGTGATTTTTCCAAAGTCAGCAGTTGGTGGGAGGCAGATTTATTATAAGAATCTGGTTCTCCAATAGGTTCTCTCTCATATAGTGGGCTTGCCCCACTCGCAACCCACCCCTTGGCTCCTCACCCCTAACTATGTGAGACTCTGTGCTAGTCTACACAGCACCAGACAAACACGACTTGCTGTATAATCACCCCCATTTATGATAGCCTGCATTTGGGAGATGAAAAAAATAATTGTTTTCCCTGCAGCATGTAGGTTCCTATTACTTTTGCTGCTTGATTGACGGTATTTCCCCTGGTCGTAAAAACTGCCCTGTATTTTCCAACATCAAGTCCTACCTGAGGTTCCTTCCTTCCACACCAAACATGAGCTATGCAGAGGCCGAAGGAAATGGTCCCTGAGAATTCTTTTTCTTCGCATGTTTCCCACGGAGAAATTAATACCCTGCTTTCCCACTCCTGCATAAAAACAATATTGAGAATGGAAAAGTACACTTGATATAAAACAACAATAACAATGGCCAGAGAGGCTCATCCAAAGTCTCATCCACTCAGCCTGCCTTTAATCCCAGTCTTTTCCTCCTCCAGACACATCCTCTCTGGCTGCCCCCAGAAAGGAGTGCTTCCTTTTCTGCTTTTGTGGTAACATGAGCATCCATTTTGCCAACCAAATGATCCTTCATGGGAAACAAACACATCAAAAGCAAACCAACAAAAGCGAAATGCTCCTGACGTGCGCAGAGGACAGAAAGGCTTTCGTGCCACCCTGCGTGATGTCCTTAGGAAGGAGAGGCAGCTGCGGAGTTTCAGGTGTCACGCTGAGGAAGGTGGTGTGGGGATGGCTGACTCATGGGGGTCAGTTGACCAGAAGCGGCGGCTATGCCTCTCTCTCTCTCCTCATGCCTTGGAGGAAGGGCCATGTCTTTGGTCAGATGCTGTGAGAAAGCTTTCTCCAAAGTTTACAGTTATCCAGAAAGAGATCAGAATTTCACTGTCAGAAAAACATTGTCCAACAAAAAGGGAGTGTCTAGCAGTAATCTCAGGACTGTGTTATGACTTGACTGAGATTTTGAGATCTAAGGTGAGGGCCTCTGGTGAATCTTCGGATAACCTGGTAGTTCTTCTGTGAAGACAACTATGCTAGAAAGAGGAAGAATTCGTCTAGTAGGGTAATGTCACCGGCAGAATTAAAAGTGGTGGTGGTCGTTGCCAAGAGCACACTTGGACATATTGTCAGAAAAATCTTTCTAACTGGGGAGGGGATCCTGGTAGGTAGTGAGCTCTCCATGACTGGAGGAGGTTAAGCATGATTTAGATAGTTCTTTGGTCTAGATCTGTAGATGACTTTCTTGAACTGAAAAGGAATTTTAAAGACCTCCCTCTTCAGTCCTGAGATTCTATAATTCAAAGAAGTAGAGAGAAAGGTTAAATCTGCAGACAAACTAGCGTTTAGAAATTTAAGACATTCTCTTTGAATTCACTTATTTCCTCTTGAACAAAAGGCAACACACGCATATATACCCTTGTGTATTCAAATGCACTCAAGAAACAGTCACATATTTACATAGGTATTTATATAGAAATATATAATAAAGTTTGCATACAAT